AATTCAATGGTCCCGGGGTCAGGGTTCTGGTGTAAGGGCGGTGTTTTAATTGATTATAGATCGAAAATGCATGAATACTTCAAAAACCTCCTTTGCGCCTGTGTATTAAACAAACTTTCTTAGTAAATAGTTATAAATAACAAGAGTGTCTCTTCCAAAATTGTGAATTTCATGGTCCCTGGGTCAGGGGTTATAGTGTAAGGGTGGTGTTCTAGTTGATTATATGGTAAAAATGCATAAATTCTTCAAAAATATTTTCCTCTACTTCTTTGCTCCTGGGTATTAAACAAACTAAGTAAGTACATAGAAGGCCTCTTCCAAAATTGTGAATTTCATGGCTCCTGAGTCTGGCCTGGGGGCCATAAAACTTAGACATGTTCACTTTTAATCCCAGTCTTAATTTTCCACAATTAATTCCTTTGGGAAAAGTGAGACTGAGATCCAAAGTGAGCTCGTCTAAGTTTTATGGCCCCCAGACCTGGTTTTAGGGCAGGGCTATATTGATTATGCATAGAAAATACATTAACTCTTTGAAACCGTCTCCTCTGCTTCTAGGTAACTAATAAACTAAACAAAATATAGTTTAATTGAATAGGGCTGCATCTGCCATGGTTCTGGTGTTAGGGTTGGGCTCTATTGATTTTAAAGTGAAAATACATAAATTCTTTAAAAATCTTCTTCTCTGCTCCTCCGTATTGTACCAATGAACTATGTACGTTGTTATTATGAGGAAGGGTGTCTCTTCCAAAATTGTGAATTTCATGGCCCCCTGGATCAGGGTTTCTGGTGTAAAGGATACTCCAACGGCTTTTTTCAAGATGTTTGTCAATTTTGAGATTTTTGGCTAAGAAAACGATGCTAATCTCTGCTTTATAATGCATACAAATTCTTGCTGATTATTAAAATGCTGATTATTAAATGGTTTTCCAATAAGTTAACATTAATCAAACATAAAAACAAACACATGTGAACGTGCCGTTATTGAAGCTTCTGATTTTGTCTGTAACTGCCTGCTTCTGAAATCACTGTGACTACTCGGAGAATTCTTCACTAGCCACACAGAGGTTATCAGCAATTAAAGTAGAGGGACTCTTTATTCAAGGAAGGAGATCAATGACCATAAAATAGGAGGCGGAGCTTAGCACTTGCCTTTTTTCCGGGTAATCTTTCTGATTCAGAATTGAACCTATTTTACTACATTTAAAGCACTTAAATAAAGAATAAAACCTCCCATTCTTGTGAATATGCATTGGAAATATGGATAATATGGATAAATGACAGGTATCCAAAGCTGAATCTCCAAGGTATCTAGTTTCGGCAGAATTTGCTTTGTAATGGTTTTTTTTTTTTTGCCCTCTACTGTACAGTAAGATTAGACGATTATTTCAAAGGACTCAGTTCCTTATTCATTGACCAATTTCTCTGAAAACTCGTCAGAATGCGTCTCAAATGCGTGTTTACAAAACCGTATCTCAGATTTTTAATATCTTGCTTAATTCTCGAATTAATGTTGGAAATGTAGAACTGGGCTAATAAATTGGTAACATTGAAGAACGAATGGATGTAACTTTTAAATAAGACGAATTATCAAAATTCTGAGATACGGTTTTTAAGTTCAATCTTTAATGTACATTGATGCAAAGTGATGACTTTGAGAGGTTGAATACAAAAATGTTGATTGATAAAATATAAATGCAGTAATAATTACATGAAAATATTTTACTTAGATAAAACTGAAAGTTTAAACTAAAATTATTAAATAGTACATTTAACAAGCTTTCAAATGATATATACTTATAATATGTTATCTTTGATAACGAAAGATTTACAAGCAAATTAAATTTTGCCCTTTTGAAACCTTTGATGTATCCTGAAGGCGGGGCTCAAATGAAAATATATTGAAAATGCACGAATTCTTTGAAAATCTTTTCCTTTGCATCTTGGTATTAATGCCAATGATCTTAGTTTATATATTTATGATAAGAAAGGTACATCTAGCAAAATGGTAAATTTCAGGGCCACTGGGTCAGGGGTAATGGCGAGGGCTGGTTACATTGTCTGAAAATAAATTAATGTTTTCAAATCTGCTCTTTTGTATTATTTAACCATTTATAATGAAATAAAAATTTTTATGAAATTTACAAAATGTTGAAATATGTTTTCTATCATAACACGGTAATAATAGAAAGGCAGACATCACATCTTTGTTTTCATTAATTTTATAATTGATGTTTGCTTTTTAGTGCTGTATGATAAGTATTCGTTGTTCGCGGCATGCCATCCAAGTTGTGAATATATTCAACAAAATTCTTTCCAAACAAAGACATGTAAATCTTTTGTAGATTGTGTGTTGACTTTTTGATCATTTTTCTAGTTTAAATGATGAAGACCTTATTGAAGTTCTGGATAAATGGATTCATTTTAAGCCCCTGTAAACGAAGATTTTGGAGTACCGGTATGGTAGTTTTGCCCTGTTTGTCCATCCGACAGTTTGTCCGCAAAACCTTACCTAACTCTTGATTTGTTTGAGCTATGGCTTTCATATTTCAGATGTGTATTTCACAAGAAAAGGTCTTCCTTCATTTACACACATATTTTACTATTTGACTTTGGCGTTTGACCTTCTTTTGCAAATTTAAATTTTAACCATGACAGTATTTTTTAACAGTTGATGCTAGGGTTTCCATAATTACATACATATACACACGTATATTCCATAAGACGTTAAGGAACGATATGGAAAATGTGACCTTTGTAGCGTTTTAATATGTGTTACTTCTTTTAAAAAATTGTAACAAAGCAACTGAATACTTGTACAAAATGTAACATTGCTATCAATAATGGATAGGACTGGGCCGTATTTATTACTAGTAATATCACATGTATCAGCTGTTTGTCGCGAGACTTGTATAACAATAGAATTGTTAAGCTGAATGCAGGAAATGATGATAGTGCAAGGGCATACGCTTGTTTTTCAAGGAAAAAATTGATACACATTAAAAGATGTTTATAACCTCTACCAAAAAAGTGCTGGGAGCTAGTCTGTTCTGTTTGCAAAGTATTGCAATTTTTTCCGAAATGCAAATAATAGCTTAAAATTTCCACTTCGTATAAATTCTGTTAGAAATAAAAATAGTGTTATGCAGGCCAGGATCAGCTCCCAGCACTTTTAAAAATATACACTAAATAAGCAATAAATGTTCCATAATTAAGCTCAAACAAAATAGTCTATGCCCTAACACTTTTGATGAAAATCACGAATACGCTTATCGTTATAAACGATATACTCTACACTCCTTGACCCTGTGCAGCTCTAATGCTACTGGAAATTCATATCCTTTACAAATTGTTTTTATAAATTACTTTTTTTAGTTTTTATGATAAAGTAAAAATTGGCGATTATATCATATTTATTTAAGAATTCTTGTAATTTTAAACCAGTGAATATAGTCCTCTGGATCACCTGTGCTGCGTCATGTCAAGGCTGATGACGTCATCTTTGACAAAATACTTTCTTTTATTTCTCGACTGAATTGCTATCAAGTATTGCAATTTTACAAGATTTATTAATAATAGATAAAATAAATAAATTAAAGTTGTTATTTACGCATGATCATATTGATTTATTTTTGTTATTTGTTAGATTTCAATGACGTCACAATTAAACTAACAATATGCTGTAACCAGAAATGTGAACTTTGACCTTCCTTAACATAGCTGAGTAATTTGAGTTTATAACACATTTAAAGTTTTGACCTTTGCACTTCTGTTTGAACCACTTTAAGAAACTTTGCTCTTGTCCATAACTTCTTTCGAACTTGTAACAAGATACCAACAACGTTGACCATTAAATTGGACCTTGGTCTTATATAGGTTGATCAACCTGTTGAAGAACATAACTTGGCCGAAAATTTTAACACTTGCTTCCAGAGCTTCAATATTTCACATGAATTTTTCTATTGACAGGACCGGCTTCTCTTAGATACCAATACTTTGACTCTTTGACCTTGGCCTTGTAGTCTGAAGTATATTAAAAAAAGTTTAATCTTATTAATAACTTTTAATGGTTGGTGCTTGGGCTCTCATACTTCAGAGGAGTATTTAGTGGGTCAGGTACCTTATTTGGGTAACACGATCTTTCATCTCTTGAGATTGACTTACATTTGAAAAACTTTAATCTTTGTCAAAGGCTGCCGTACGGGGGCATCAATGTTTCACAAACGCATCTTGTTTCTTTTTCTCAAAACATAGTCCCTGGCATTAAGGTTTTGAAATATTTATGCACTTTAATCAATGAAATTTATGAGTTATGAGATTACATTTGTCATAAAAATACTAATGCTAATATATACATGTATATCCCTTTATACCCTTGTCTACAAATGTTAGTTGTGTATTATTCACAAATCGAAAAAAGGTCATCAGGCGTTTTAGCATATAGTGGTTCTTTTTCTGTAGTATTATAGATATCGTAATTGATTAATAAAAACAACATATAGAGCCTTATTATTAAAGAAATCCCTCTTTTGGATTGCCAATTATACATTATCACGCGGGAAATCATTTTAAAATCCATGGCGTGTATCAGGAATAAGCATATGTTTCATTGTTATTTATTTACTTCATAACATCATCAGATTAATAATAAAATACGATATAGAAAGTTATTATACAGAAAGATAAATGCAGTTATTTATTGGATAATAAGTTTATAACAACATTAACATCAAAGAAACCTCATAACTGATTGAATGTCGTAACTTTAATCAAAAGTCTTTAATCGACAATATTAACCACAAGTAAAACACAAGTTACACGTCATATAAGGTAATCAGTGAGGCTTTATCATCATAACAGTCTCCGTTATATCACTACCATTCTTAAGTGGTGGATACCACGGTTGGACCCAGAATGCCGGGGACCAGGGACCATTGAGGTAGGCGTTGTGACACCAGTTAAACCACCAGCCTCCATCGTGAGAAACAGCACAGTGGTATCCATTATATCCGTCGTTGTCTCCGTCCGGGGCGGAAAAACGCCACCCCGGACAGATCTTCATCAGGATCGCCGGTGTCTAGCATAGCATCACCTACAATAATCAAAGAGAACATATTACATGTACATGATTATCTATATTAACTATATGTATATGATATACTGAGCAGTATCAAAGATGAAATATTACATGACTATCTATATTGAATCAAATTATTCCTATTTGTAAAAATTCATCTATATTATTAACACTATAATATAACACTATCATTTTTATCAAATCAGATAATTTCAATTTATAATAATAAAAGTTAAAGAAAACCCCCGACTATATTTTACATATAATTTATATTGTACAACCTTATAATTATATAATAAGTATTAGAATTAATCTTATTGTAAAACATTGAAAATGATTTATATTTATTATTTAAAAGAAACACTCGTTTTAAAACGACAGTTTTAATGATCGCATATCATTAAATGACCTTTAACTATTTGTTGAACAGGACTAATTAATTTCTCTCTCTCTCTCTCTCTCTCTCTCTCTCTCTCTTTAATTGACAATTTTTGCTTGCAATATTATTTATAAAAATCGATACCAAAGGTGTACAAAAAATGTATTTCTAAAATGAGGTTGTCTTCGCATAATCTGTTTATAGAAACTGGTAGGCATAAAAATATAACAAGAGACAAAAGATTCTGTAAAATATGTACTACAGAAATTGAAGATGAATACCATTTTTTACTTGTTTGCCCAATTTACTCAACATTGCGGGCAAAGTTTTTGAAAAAATATTATTGGTATAGGCCATCTATGTACAAATTAATACAGTTGCTAAGTGTGAATAATGTAAAAGAACTCTGTAGTTTAGGGAAGTTTATCTATAAAGCCCTCGCGCTTAGAAATGATTTAATAATGTAATGGTGTGTCATTTGCTGATTTGTTACTACTATATATTATTATATGATTGATATGATTATATCTGCTTTATTACATGTCATTCTCCACATGAACTGTAAAGACTGTTAAAATGAGTTTATATGTATATATATGTACATGTATCATAAGGGTTTACAAAACTGACCAGCCATTATTTCCTTTACTTCTTTTGTTTATATTGTATAAATGCTATAAGACGTATGTCTTTTGCAAATAAAGAATTGAATTGATTGTCATTCGTACATTTTTTTCCTTTTTACCTACCCAGGATCCCGGTAGCTGGACCTCCAAGAAAGAGTCTGTATTTGTTGGCTTCATCAGCAACAGAGAACTGATTGTATAATTCATAGAGCTTTGTCCCATTGGTCAGTGTGATGGAGACGTAGAGGGAGGAGTTCCTTCCCTTGGTAAGTTGATGTATTACGTCATTTCCTGTATAATTATTGACCCAGTTAATTCCCCTCTTTCTTTTAAAATACATGTCAGTCTATTTCTTTTTGATTCTCGATTGCAATTATCTCATGCACCAAAAGGAATCAATTAATAAATTTTGAAAAGATCTAACTACAGGATAGGCATTTGGAAGGGGCTATATTATTATACTGCCTTCTTGACAAGTGAAACAATTTATCAAAATCTTTATTACAAAGTAAGAATGAAAGAAATTTTGTGACAAAGGAGTAATTCCTCTATAAGAAATGATGAAATTAACACATACCAAACCAATAGGAGTCCTCCACATTGCCGAATCCGTTTTTGTACTCCGTCCACATTCTACGAAAACTTAATCCACTCCGCCGTTGCTGGATAACCTACAAATCACCTTATTGATTCACCTCGTGACATTCATAACTTAAGGTATAAAACTACAAGATGAAGTGTATATTTTTCAAATAAGAGAAAGAGAGAGAGATAGAGAGAGAGGTTGTAGAACATATATCTCGCCAGAAACTCAAATTAAAAAAAAAACATCTTAGCTAGTATCTATAATGTCGAAAAATACCGATTGACGTTTAATAATTCTTATCTTTTATTTACCATCATTTGCATTGCCAGGGCTCGAGGATTAAAAAAAACGTCCGTTAGAATTAAATCATACCCAACTACAAATCATGATATCGTAATGATTTTGGATGATGGTGAACAAGTGCACATAATCTTTTTGGGCATAACTATACAGTTGATAACCATTAACCTGAACTTGTAAAATACAATAGCTGAAATGTCATTTTGATTATATGAGAGAGAGAGAGAGAGAGAGAGAGAGAGAGATTTCTTACCGTCCATGCGTCATTGTTCTCCATCTTGCATTGAACATTGATTGATGTAGTATTATCAAAAGGATAAATTTGGTTAACACCGAATACTATCTGACCTTTAAGATGAAAGTCATGGCAGTCACGGGGAAGTGCTGTACAAATATTGTATAGAAATAATCTTTCATGGAATTATATCGAATATACAATTAATAAAATCTTCTTAATTCAATACAAATGATATTAGTAATATTACCTTCAGGAAAGTAGTTCCTCCATCCCTTTTCAGCTACAGTGATGTCTGTTTGGTTACAGGGATTATAGACGCGGCACTTCCTGTGTTTGGAGTTAAACCCAAAACAGCCACAGGAGGAGCCACAGAGAGCGGAACAACAGGGCAGGGACTGGGCGCTGTACTCTGGTAGGAATTCCCTGTCAGACTTCTTGTCATCAAAAGCCAGGTCTGCTGAATACTTACGAGAGGCTGCGATCACGGCGTCCAATAAGACGGCCATCATGAAAAAACGGCGGGAAACGTTACAATTAACCATGATTGCTTGTGTGGACGTTTCAACAATCAATACGAGTTCAGTAGATGGAAGTTTAGAATTGGAATTAATATATAACTTTCAGTTCTCTTTAATTTATTCTGAAGAAATAATCTTATCACCAGTTTTCTGAAACACCAATGAAACGATATTTCAGATTGAAGGAGGGGTTAGTTACATTATTAAACATTTAAAACTAAATACAGAAATGCAGTAGCACCGCCTTGTTTACATTTAGCAATATTGGAATTCTATTTAGCAATAGGAAAATATGATATAAATGACTTTATATTAAAGTCCTATGTGAAATATTGTCTGGAAACGTATGCATTATACACAAAAGGAATGACAAATGAACAAACAGACAAACCGAAAGATAGACTTACAGAAAAAAAGACAAAAATACTATCAAAATATTCTTAGAAACAAAAATTACAAATGTAATATTTTATCATTTTTATCAGAAAAATAATTCTAAAAACTTGAAAAGTTAAGAAGTATTTTTTTTTGGTTTTATTCACATGTACCAGGTATATCGATATCCTAGCTGCGTACAATGTATAGTTTTATTTAAATGTACACGGTATATTGACCGCCCTACCTCCGTACAATGTCTCATTTTTAGGTCACCTGAGTAAACTCAGGTGATCTATTGTTTTCGTCAGTGTCGCAAACGTCGGCCGTTGTCAGTTGTACGTTGGGTTGGTCGTATACTTGTGAACTTCTTCTCTGAAACCACTGACCCAATTTCAACTAAATTTGGTATGCAGCATCTATGTGTGAATGGAAACAGAATTTCACGGTCCCTGCTCCCTGGGGCTTAAGGGGTGGTGCTAACCAAAATTAATACAATCTTTAAAAATCTCCTTCACTCCTGGACATCAAGCAGACAAACTGTTGGCATGATTGTAATAAACAGTGAGCCCTCTATAAATATTGTAAATTTCTTGGCCCCTAGGTCAGGGGATCTGGTGTTAGGGTGGGGCTATATAGATCATATTCTCAAAGTGCATTATTTCATTGAAAATCTTTTTCTCTGCTCCAGGGTATTAAAAAAACTAAGTTCATAGTTATGATGACCAGGAGTGCCTTTTCCAAAATTGTGAATTTGATGGCCCCTGGGTCGAGGGTTCTTTGGTGTTAGGGTGAGAATATATTTGATTGTGTAGTGAAAATGCATTAATTCTTGGACATCTTCTCCTTTGCCCCTGGATATTAAACAAACTTATTAAACAATCGTTATATAAGTGTTTCTCCCAAAATTATGAATTTCATTGTTCCTGGGTCTGGGGTTCTGGTACTAGGGCGGGGTTCTAATTGATTATATATTGGAATTGCATGAATTCTTTAAAAACTGTGTCCTTTGCACCTGGTAAAATAGGGTGTTAGGGGGGCTTCTTTGAAAATATAAATACGTTGTTTAAAAAGTTTCTTCTTTCCTCATGGGTATTAAACAAACAAACTAAGTATATAGTTATGATGAGCAAACGGGCTTCTTCCAAAATTGTGAATTTCGTAGCTCCTGGGTCAAGGATTCTGGACTGGGGCCATAAAACTTAGACAAGCTCACTTTTAATCTCAGTCTTAATTTTTCACTATTAATTCCTTTGGAAAAAGTGAGACTGAGATCAAAAGTGAGCTCGTCTAAGTTTTATGGCCCCCAAGCCTGGTGTTAAGGCAGGGCTCTATTGATTATATATGTGGAAAAAACATTAAATCTTTGAAAATCTTCTCCTCTGCTCCTGGGTATTTAATAAACTAACCAATATATAGTCAAATTGAATAAGACTGCCCCTTCAATAATTGTAAATTTCATTACCCCGGGTCAGGGGTTCTGGTGTTAGGTTTTGGCTCTATTGATTTTATAGTGAAAATGCATACATCCTTTAAAAATCTTCTCTGCTCCTCGGTATTAAATAGTGAACTATGTATATGATGACCGTCAAGCGAAAACCATCCTTATGTGCATTATGACGTTATCGAGAAAAGGAGCGCTAAAGTTGACGTCATAATTGTTTGCCGCATTTTGCAAATAAAAGCTGTGTGAAGACGCATCATTAATCATAATACCGGTATTTCTTCATTCAGTAAATACTTATACTAAACAACATAATGAGTATTTGTAAGTGTTATTATTAAAGCCCACTGTTTAGTATGAAAAAAAAAGATTTACAGCAAACTGAAAATGAAAATCCTTTGAAGTAGCGAATACCACGATCTTCGCCTTTGATTTCATTTTCGAGGAACATTTTCTTTTTACTTTTAAAACTCGAATAGAAGGAGAAATCGCATATTATCTTTGGACTAGGGCAGCAACAAAATGGACATAGATCTACTCTTATTCAATATTATTATTGTCCCTTTTTATTGATATTTTTCTATATTTATGATAAAAAGCATAGAAAATCTAATCAAAGTGTCAAGCTAAGGCGTTGGATTTCATACAAAGGTGTGTAAGTTTATTGCAAATCAAACAGCGTAAAAAGCCGTTATGTACTAAAATTCAAAAACAAGCTTGAAGACACGGGGCGGCGGGTCACAGAAATATAATTTATCAGTATATAATTGAAGTTGGAAAACAAAACCCTCGGTACAATTTGGCAGGAAAAATATACTACATGTATAACAAATGAAAAAGTTTGTTTTGTTTTGCTTTCTTATTGCTTGTCAAGAATTCCCCCACCCACCCCAAAAAAGAGAAATAATAAATGAATCGCTTTCTATGTGTCTGAAATAATCAACATGTGTCAACATGTACAAATACCGCTAACGAAGGGAAGTAACCTGCATTATAATTATTTTTGTTACCTGGCAACAGGAAGCGTTCAGTATTCACCACTTCCTCCAAAGATTTCTCGGTATCTGTGTACATGTATATCTTATTTGCATGTTTTTGCTATTCAAAAGGGAAAATAGGAACTGTTGATTATTCATTCT